TCGCGGGCAGCCCTGGCACCCCGAGGCACTGGCCGGGTAGTGGGAACCCGGGAAATTTCAACGAATAGATGTAGGAACGGTTGGTTGAGGTGCTTTTGCTTCTTTTTACGTTTGGTTTCAGAACCAAGCCAGCTCTTTGAGTGTTGTCATCACAAAGCACTCGGTTCAAGACCAGCCAAGGACTTGAGCTGAGCTGTGAGCTTGGGTGTAGTGCTTCTTACCGCCACCTTGTGAAGCCCATGTCGTTGCCCATGTAAAAGAGGGTGCTGCACCCAGGCTCGGAGGTAATGTGCTGCTCCAGGGAAGCCGCATCCGATACCCGTGGTTTAAATGCCAGCCCACTTGGCCATGTCGTTGCCCATGTAAAAGAGGGTGCTGCCCCCAGGCTCGGAGGTAATGTGCTGCTCCGGGGAAGCCGCATCCAATACCCGTGGTTTAAATGCCAGCCCACTTGGTTCGAAACATGCCAGGGACATGCTTGCCCAAGACCCAGTAGGCTGGAGGACTGGAGAAGACTATGGTGTGACCAGAACTTTTGGGGGTTCTAGTCTCTCTCCCTCTCACACACACACACACACACACACTCACACCTGCGCACGTGCTCTATCATAAATAAACAGGAAGAGTAATGTAAATAAAGGAAGTAATTCTCGGGACCAGCAGATGGCATAATGGTTCCTGGACTCCCATGTAGTCAACCATGGTTCGAGTCCCAGACCCAGAAACTTAGAAAACTCATGGCAGGCACGTGTGCGTGTGTGCCTAAGACACCTAGAGGACAATGGAGGAGGAGAGATTACGGCATGCCGGTCCTCCCTGGGGGGGTGAGTCTTCGCTTTCTGTCTCTCTGTCTTTCCAGCGAGTACATGTGCCCTATAGCAAAAATCTCTAAAGAAGAGAAACCAACAAAAAAGGAGGTCACTGGCCTTTCTCGTAAGCCTGTTGCGATGAGCCGCGGACATGATCAGCAGCAGGGGTGCCCTGTAAACCTCCAAGCTTGACGCGGTGCGCGGTGGCAGGTCGTGTCAGTGCCCTCAGACACCACGAGGCTCTGGCCTGGCACCCGGCCTCTCGAGCTGTCTCTCTCCGCCGTGCCTTCTCAAGCCCGTTGCCTTTTCCCAGCCCAACAAGAGCCTCTCTCCCTGTCCTTTCTCCGGCAGTCGCCTTGGTTATTTATAGCCTCCGGTCTGCGAGGCGGCGTCCCAGCAACGGGCGCTGCAGATGCTCGGGCGTGTGTCCTACTTCCACAGGGCCCCGCGCAGGCCCACCGGCTCCGCCCGCCTCCTCGCCTGACCCCCCGGGTGGCTTGTGCTTTGGTGCCCCGCAGCGTTCCACAAGGCCGGGCGGCAGGGCGAGGCCGTCAGGGTGCTGGAGCAGCTGACACGCAACGCCGTGGTGGAGAGCAGGTTCGACGACGCCGCCTACTATTACTGGATGCTGTCCATGCAGTGCCTCGATATCGCCCAGGGTAAGCCGGCCGCGGCTCTCCACGCCCGCCCTGGCACCGAGATAAGCATCGAAAGCGCTGGCATGCTTTAATGAAAGCCCTGGGCTGGTTTATTGGGTGCATTGTCCATAGCCTGTCTCGCTGTGCCGTAATCTGGCGTGTCATCTTCCTCCAGTTTTCCCCGAAGCACAAGATGGGATGAGGGTCGTCCTGGGGTTACGGCTGGGAGGTCCTGCCCAGCATTGCTGATTCAGAGCCAGCTGGACCCGACTGAACACTGGTTTAAAATTTTTTTTTAATTAAATGAAAAGATGGGCAAGAGATGGCTTTACAGTAACCCGCTCCAGAGTCTTCACTGCTCCAGGCAGGATGGGTCTCAGTGCTGCGCTGTCACGAGACTTCCCGTGATGCATGGAGGGCGTCCTGGAAGCCCAGAGCAGGGCGTGTTCTCCCCCGGCCGAGGCCTCACTCAGGAGCGGGAAAGGCCACGGTGGAAGTGAGGGGCTTGGGGCACGTCAGAGTTCCGTCCCGAACTCCACAGGCTCTCCTGCACCGCGGGGTGCCCCTCCTGCCTCCTTCCCAAGGGGCCTCTAGTTTGGAAACTCCCAAGGCATTTGAAAAATGCCATGTACAGGGTGGCACTTTCTCCTGGCCAGGGGTCTGTGCTTGGGCACAGAGAAGAGGCCTGCGGTGGGTGAGCCAGGTCGGTGTGTGCCCAATCACATCCTACCAGGTCACCTGGTAGGACTGCGAGTGGTCACCCGCTTCGTGCCACGGCGGTGCCCTCCCAGGGGAGGGCTGGGCCGGTCTGAGAAAGGCCCTCGGACTTCCAGCAGTGCGTCTGTCCCGCTGGGACTCGCTGCCCTGGGACGGCCCCCTCTCGAGCACAGTACCGTGTCCGTCACCACACCCTCTCGCTCCCACCCCTGGTGCTACGGCCAGCCACGGACGCTGTCTCACACGTCTTCTCCCCTCCCGCCCCCACCCTGCACACAGCAGATCCTGCCCAGAAGGACACCATGCTCGGCAAGTTCCAGCACTTCCAGCACCTGGCCGAGCTATACCATGGCTACCACGCCATCCATCGGTACACGGTGAGGGCCGGAGATGCACGCAGGGCTGCTGGGAAGCCGGGCCGCCTCCGCCTCTGGGAAGGGGTGGTTTTCGTGGATGGGCTCCTCTCTTCACACTGCCAAGGTGTAGCTTTCTGGTTCCACAGTGGTGCTGAGAGTGGTGACCGGAGTGTGCTGGGTGCTCCGTGCTGTGCTCCGTTCAGGCTTTGGGGACTTAGGCAAGCTCCTGACTCCCTGGACAAGGGCTGTCTCTCTCAGAGCTTCCGGGGCGGGCCTCTCCTCTGTGAAGGCGGAGAGGAGGCTAAAGGCATGCGTTCCGTCCCAGGCTTGCCCCCGACTTGCTGTGAGCCTTGGAGCGATTCACCTTCCCTCTCAGCCTCTGTCTTTCTTTTCTCTAAAACAAGAGGCTCTCTAGTCTTGAGACCTGCACAGTTCTTTTTAGTCATCGCGCTTCTGTTGATGAAGCCGCCTTAGCCCTGTGGTGTGGAGTGGGGACAGGACACAGGCTGTCAGCAGCCCCTCGTCCCGTGTCCCCAGCCACGCAGCACTGTCGAGTAGCGCCCTCAGCATGCGCTCAGGCTGACGGGCTGGGCAGGGTCACCAAGCCTGCTTTCCCGAGCACACTGGCCCGCTCGTCCCCTCCTTCGGACCACGCTGTGAGATCAGCCCCCACTCTGCAGGCGAGGGAGCAGGCATGGGGCAGGGAGGTCCAGCTCTAGTGCGCAGCGAGCCAGTGTGGAATCCAGCAGGCCGACTCCCACCAGGCTCCTAGCTCCTCCCCGCAGCACTGCTTAGAGGAGGAGGGTTCTCGTGCGGCTGGAGAGGCCCAGGCGTGCTCCAGCCAGCCACACCCCCCACCCCCTGCACCGGGCAGGTGTCGGCAGCTCCCTGGCCCCCTCTGTGTGTCAGCGTCCCTCTCTGTAAGTGGGCACTCACTCACAAAGCTAGGTGGGAGTGCCGTGAGTGGTGAGTGAGTTCACGTTGCAGAAGCCCCTGGAGGAGTGACCTTCGGTGAGTATGCTCTCACTGCTGCCCCGGGCGGAAGCTTCCAGCCAACTTTCCGTGCCCATCTGCACCCGAGACTGCGCGTCTCGTCGCCCTGTGACTCCCAGAAGCCTGACCTCCCGTCCCCTGGTCTGTGCTCAACTCCTGGGAAAGTCTGGCAAGAAGGACCCTTTGCCAGGCCCCACCCAGGCCAGCGGCAGTCCGCGGCTCACTTCTCACAGCCGGGTCACCGGGTTCGAGGGACCTCATCTCCCCAGCAGCCTTTGCTTTCCCTGAGACGAGCCCCCCACCACCCATGAGGACCCTTCCCTTCTGTCAGGTGCTGACTTAGAAGCCCACCCGAAAAAAGAGCCGGACTCAGCTTGGGCTCTGCAGCCAGGGGTGAGAGGAGTGGGTCTCCTCCCGGACCACCGAGCCCTACTCCAGGCTCCCGTCGGCTGGGGGCACTGGCCCTGTCCCAGCTGAGGCTGTTCCTTCCCTCCACAGAGGCCGGCTGTGTGACAGGCCCTGCGAGGAGGCCTTAGGACACAGTGGTGAATAAGACATGTCCCTGCCCCAGAGGAGCTAGTAAACAGGACAGTCCCTCCAGGGAAAAGCGTAGGGGCTTGCGTAGAGACTTCCTGGAAGAGGTGGCCCCTGGCCAAGAGGAGGGACATAAGTCAGAGTGGGGCAAGTGGGCAGGAGGATCCAGGCTGCATGCGGGCCTGGGGGGCGGCCTGTCCCCGTCCTCTGGGGGGCATTTCTTAGCCTGCACCCCTAGTGAGTGGAGCCAAAGGCAAGCTTCACCCTGGCCCTCACCCAGAGAAGGGAGCAGGCTCAGGTCTTAGGGTCTCGGAGCTGACAGAACTTAGGGGAGCAGAGAGATGCCAAGCTCTGAACCGGAGCTCTGTAGAGCAGTCAGGGCTCCCCTGGTGGCTCAGCAGGGGGGACCTCACTGGAACATTCCAGAACCCGAGTTTACTGCCACTGAGACATGGAGGCCGGGGTGGTGGCCGTGGCCCACTTTAACCCCCATCACCTTGCGTTGTGAGGACCGGAAGTCTCCGTCTCTGTGGTGCCAGGTTCCAGCAAAACTGTCTTCTTGACCCTCCGTGGACCCCTCCTGATGACAGTCCCCGTGGTCTCCCTGGCCAAGTCCTGGGGCCTCCAGGTACAGAGACCTGTTGGTTCCATTGAAGCGGCAGGTGCCGGGGCGCAGGGCAGCAGCCGAGGAGCCCGTGTGCACCGTGGTGCATGTGGCTGTGGGGTGCAGAGGTACAGGGCTTCATGCTGCTGAGGGTCATGTGCCTCCCTGTGAAGGCTTGAAGGCCTGCCTGTGTCTCAGTCACGTCCTTGGTGTGCAGATTCTCTTTGAGAGCTAATTGGAGACCGCTTGAGCTCAGGCACGGGGGATCGTCCCAGCTGTGAGCAGAGCAGCCTGGGAGGAGACACCCTGGGCCCCAGAAACCAGCCCGGTTTGAGCCGCAGCCCTGCTTCGTACTAGCCAGGTGGGCAGGTCGGCTCTGGGCGTGGGTCTCCTTGGCGGCCGTGAGGCCAGGCCGCAGACCTCACAGGCCTGCAGGAGAGGCCACACGGACAACACGCGGCGGGCAGCATGCGGCGGGCAGCACGCGGCGGATACTCCGCATTGGGAGCTGCTGCTGTCGCCACGCTGCAGCCGCCCGGGGTTACTGGTGTCCGCCCAGCGCGGTGCCACTGAGGACCTGCACCCGCTCGCCCTTCTCGCTGCAGGAGGAGCCGTTCAGTTTCCACCTTCCCGAAACCCTCTTCAACATCTCCAGGTTCCTGCTGCACAGCCTGACCAAGGACACCCCCCTGGGCATCTCTAAAGTGTATCCTTTCTCTCAGCTGCCCCATCGCTCCTCGCCTAATGGCCCCGAGAAGGCCTTCCCAGCGCACTTTCCTGGCAGAGGCTCTTCCCCGCAGTCCTCGGGGAAGGGCCCGCCTGCCGGGCCAGGGCCGAGGCTAGGGCTCCATCCAAGGAAGGCTGCCTGGAGAAGGTGACATCTACCCTATGGGCCCAGGCGCCCAGGGAAGTGTAGTGTGATGCCCAGGGGAGTCCTGGCTTGTGGGCGGGCA